CGGACACAATCCGGCTCTAGTCTGGGCTAGGAAAAGTACTCGGATCTGTCCAGGACCCCGTGTTCTCATGTGTCTAGAGAGCTATGTTCCCATGTGTCCTGTGAGTCGTCATTCGATCTGCCCTGGACGCTGTTGTTTGTGCTGTCCCGAGAGCTGTGTTCCCGTGTTTCCTGGGAGCGATGTTCCGATGTTTCCCGAATCAGTGTTCCGATGCGTCCCGGGAGCGGTGTTTCGCTGTGTCCCGGAGCAGTGTTCCAATAGACCCCGGAGTGGTGGTTCCATGGGTCCGGGAACAGTGTTCCCAATGTCCCGGAGCGGTGCTTCCACGTGTCCTGGAGCGCTGTCTCCATGTGTCCCAAAGCGGTGTTCCGATGTGCCCTGGGAGCGCTGTTTTGATTTGTCCCGCAGGCTGTTCTCTGGCCCGTCTGTCCCGTGAACCGTGCTACGGCAATATATCCGATGACAGAGAGCACCCTGAGGTAGCCGAGATCGAGCAGCGGCCGCCGGTGCTCGGAAACGACGGTCGGCGCTCGGCAACGGCGGCCAGGGATTGAAAACGGCGGGCCATCCTACGCGAGCTTCGAAGTTCGGTTCTAAGCGTCTGCCACCCCGACACTACCGGAATGATAGGACGGTTCAGTTGTGCCTTGAGTTTTCAGGTCGAGCCCGAACTCATGCACCTGCCACGCTTTGACGTGAGGCGAGCGATCCTTTTCACAATGTTCTCGACGTGAGCGCTGGGATTCGCTCCTCCTGTTCAAAGTTGTCTCGTTCCCAACACTTGAACTTCCTGTAACGAGCGTATGCATTACAACGCTCTCAAAGCGGAGAAAATGTCACCACGCCTCTGCCCCTCATCCAGCTAGAATACAGTGGGTAGCACCCAAAATTCATGGAATGTACTCGTCCTCACTAACGTCTCAAACCAACAACCAGGACTCGGTCAGCAAATGACCATGACTGTAGTCTTGAGCCCTGGCGAAATCAATGCATAACTTTTTCACTTCACCAGTTTAAAGGACGGTTTTTAATCCTCACCTTACGGTAATTTTTCGCCTTCGCTAACAAAGTAGGCAAGTAAGCCAGGCCTCAGTAGGCTCGGCAAGAAGGCTAGAGCCGCATAGAAAGCGGCATTTGAAAGCTGTAGTCGGACTGCATCATGTAGGTGTGACTGAACAATAGTGAGTGCGGCTTTTGACGGGTCAGATAACAGATGATAAGATTAAACTAGCACTTTAAAGGCCCCCGCTGTTGTCCCAAGAACAAAGAATGCTGTGATGCTGCGGAAGAGAGCGTTGAAATGCTCTTGAAAAACTTGAGATAGTTACTAGGGTACCTCGACACATGCAAGCTTTGGTGTCTCATGTCAGTCCAAAGGAATATAGACTATTGCTGCATTGGCCTGCTCGGATATGTCAAGAACCAAACAAGCTACATGCCTGGGGAAAACTCACTGGAAATGCCTCCCAAATGCTGTAAGATGTGTGTCATTAAGGTTTGAATCGTATACTCTTGAAATGGTCAAATCTGCTCGTGAATGCTGCTGGTAGCAGAAGTTACCACGGAAAAGGTATTAGGAACCTCTGAGCCCTCTCTCAGGGCGAGGGTTAAGGGCAAGACCAGGGCCGGACTAGGTTAGTAGGGCAGATGCCCAGATCGCAACTACCGAACCTTCTGAGCTCGTCAGGGGAGACCCGGCACACAGCGAGTGCAGAGCCAGGACCTAACGGCTGCAGTCGTGGGCGTGTCGCCGCCGTCGTCCTGCAAGGGCCGGACTGCTTTGTTTACCTTGCTTTTATCTACAATGGTGTTCTGCGAGCTGCTGCCGGTGCAGACGCAGCCAGCAGACTGCCGAAAACACTCACCCGAAACTCGATCCGGTCGACCGGCGCTGCTCGCGCCTCACTGCAGGGATCGGGAGCAAACGTCCGATGAAGGCTGCAGCGAGAGCAAAGACCAGAAGCAAACGTCCGGAGACAGCTGCAGTGGATTGGCGAGATGTTGCGCATAATTTAGGACGTCCTGCTGCACGAGAGGATCCCGGATTTCGTCAATGGAGGTGTCATGCTTCTCTGTGGCACGACCTCCTGGAACTTGGTATTTCCTCTCCAAAGAATAAAGCCCCTCGCTTTTTACCACTTAGAAATTAAAAGCCATTAGAAGGTACAAATCAGCATGCGTTAAGATGCGAGAAACATTACATAAAGTCGGATGTAACTGAACGCATACAATGGAGCGTGGCGGCCAAGCCGGTTAAAATTTTTAATTTGGCCCTTTCTTTAAAACAATACCTGTCAAAGGTCTTGTCAGATTCTCTCAGGGTTTTACAAAGTTATTGAGGGGCTGTGGATTGGACGCCAGCGCATATTGAAGATCGACATAGGGTCAACATTTCTATTGAAATATTCAGCCCTTGTTCCCCTGAGGAAATAATCCTGTCTTTAGAATCCTTTAGCGAAAAATTAATCAAATAGTTCTAAGCATGTGAGCTAGCCGCGAGGCCGAAAGAACACAGACCCCAGTGTTGCGGCCTGCATGGGCCGCGCGGCGTCGGTCTCGCAGCTAACATCCAGTGGCAGTCAACTGGCGTGTGAAAACGCAGCTAACATCCAGTGGCAGTCAACTGACAGTGAAAACGACCACGTATCGGGAAGCAGTTCTCTCAAAAGCTTTACGACATCCGCTGGTACACACGTAGAAAGTATTCCAGGGCACAGGTTTCACCTCTGCGATATTCAGATTGAGAGTTGGGACGGATTAGCTCCCTTGCTCATCCCTCTGTAACTGTTATTTCCTTTTTCAGAGAATCAACTTTGAAATTGCACGAGTAAAATCTTGTGGTCCTAGTTTGAAGAGCACTGGTCCCGCCCAGTCTGCAGCTCCTGGTGGCTGCCAGTCTGGTGATACGTGGACAGGGTCTCCCTGGTCCATATGGAGGCCCTCAGAGGGACACAGCATACACCTGTCTCCTCCCTGACACGGTAGGCCCTCTGGCAGGGACATCTGGCACTACATAAACGTAGGAGGCCTCACTGGCCCCTGCTTAAAACGGCGCGGAGAGCCCATGGTTCGATGCTAGGGCCTTTGACAAATACAGGACGTTTCTGCTGTCTAGCTGTGGATGTGAACTTTTGCATCATCATTTATCTGATCTCCTTTCAACGTCACGAGGCCCCCGACGAGGGGCGCAGCCGTGATTTGCAACGGGAGGGCTGACGTGATTTGCGATGGGGAGCTATTTTTACGAACGAGTCCCAGCCTCATCGATAGCACCTACGCACTGCGAACAGACTAGCGGATCTCACAAACGTTGATAGGTACGGCATTCAGCGTATCAATGAGCTATCAATGCTGGTTTGTCATAGTGCCTTGAACAGTTACCTCAGCTGCGTACCGTGCATTTTTCACGACTATCCGCTGGTCTAGTTGCTAAGTTACGATGGGTGGGGGCTACATATCGCTGCCCATGGATATTTTCCATGATGTTTCAAACTAAAACAGCTTTCCTGAACACCAGATTCCGGAAACATATTCGGGAGTGTCGTGCTGAAAAAACGCGCACGAACCTGAAGGCACGGGGGGGGGGGGGGGGGGAATTAAAGCCTCATGAGCCTCCCTTGACTGCCTCACTGGCTCCGACCAATGCATAAGGTCCTTCAGGGTGCCATCCCTGTCCCTGTTCAGCAATTGTGCCCCTGCTGGCCGACATAGGGCCTGTTTGTCACTACTGTTCGCCATGAACAGATCATGGATATTTGGTGTGAACAAGGAGCTGGTGTTTTGGCTGGATGGCACCCGCATGGTGCGTTGCTATTCCGAGCGAAGGACGTTCTTCTTTGTTGACGTGGGATGGGATGACACACGGTGAAGAATTACTCCTTAATGATGACTTCGATGCATAAAACTGGCAATTATGACAATTTACCATCAACTTGTCTTAACGTTGCCAAAACATATTGCCTCCTTTGATAGGTTAGGCCCGTCCGAGGTGAAATTGACGGTCTAGAAAAAATAATTCCAATCGCTAGCAAGCTTCAACAGTTCATCGTGACTGTGTTCAAATACCTGGGATATCATTAAAATACTTGACGTAGAATTTGGGGTTTAGGCACGCGTTGGTGGTGCCGTTTGTTCAAGTTTACGTATAAAGAAGGTCGTCAATGGAGGTGCCATTCGGCCACTCATGGCAATTCCAAGCCCTACATATAGTGAGCATTACCACATCTAAGTATGATGTTCTCGAGACGGTAACTGTGGGGTGTGTTATCTTATCCGTTGTAAAGATACATAGGCCTATTTCGTTGTTCTGCAGCCAGGTCATGTACCGTTGATGCACTTTTGAGGCCGTAATGACGACAAGCTTCTTGCAGCGGAAGTACGGAATTTCAAACTCGAGTTGAGAATACTTCGGCTGCCCACCCATGGACCTCACCCATATTTATAAAAGTGGGTTGCGAAAACGATGCAGTGGTTATCATGCCATACATAAATACTTTTTGGTAGCGGACGGAATTTAGGCTAATGGCGCGAAGCGCTTATAATTTTTACGACAAAATATGACAATTTGAGTGCAAGGTAGCATTTTAACAAAGCTAAGACTAAGTCAGACTGCTAGACCGTTACTGTTGCTGTTTCACGTTTCATATGGTGGCAACACGCGACCCATGTGACCCCCTCGACTACACCACTGGTTATGCTTATACCACTGGTCATGGTTATGGTTACACCACTGGTTATGGTTATGTTTACACCACTGGCTACGGCCTCGATCAACTCACGTCAACATGAGCAAGCTCTGCCACTGACAATGCACAATGACAATCTTTGACCACGTGTATTAGCAAACGTCGCCATTGTTGGCTTCTCTACAAGAAGGTGGCATAAGAGAGTCGTATTATCACTCATACACGCCGTGATCCATGATGAAAGTTTTACGCGCAAGTGGCAACCTAGCTAAGTGGCGCGGATGATAAGTAACGCTTATCTTCGTCGGCCGGCAGGCTCCATCAGCAACATTGACGACGGCGAGTATCAGTGTCCGGACGGCACAAGTCCGCAGATCCGGAACCAGGTCAACCAGGTCATCTCAGGCGTGGTGGGCGCCGCCTCCAGCGTCACCTCCATCCAGGTGGCCAACCTGCTTCGGCTATTCAAGATACCTCAGGTCAGCCCGTGGCGCCCGCCTGACGCGCGCCTTCACCGGTTCCTTCCGGCCACGACCTCAGCGGCGCCGCGAACAGTTACGGCGGGGTTTTGTTATACGTTGCTGAGGATGGAAATTACGACTGGTAATGCGTCCTGTTACTCTCAAAGACCGTCCGTCTTGGGCTTGAGGCCATGGTTGTATTTTTTCTGGCATCAGTTAATGCATGGGACTCCTTGAAGCACAACAGTTTTGTTGTACCTCTCTCGGTTGTTTCGGGAGGCCAGTCTTCCTCTAAAGGTCCGGTTACATGGCCGTAGCTCCCAGCTGCAGGGGACATACAGCGTCTTTCCTAAACAAGAGCGTGTGGCCTGAAGTTGGGCCCAGCGGGACGCGAACTTTCCACCGCGATGTTAACTGTTTCATAAAGCGCGGTTTGCCAGTATAGATTGGAGAAGTTGGTGCCAAACTTGGTGCAGTGCTGTACGATAGGTAGTGACATTCTGCAGTCGCCCTGTATCTCAGACGTCCAGACTGCATCCGGCGCCGGCGGCTAGTGTCATTTGTGATCTGTAAGGTGATCCGCCGCTCCGCAGGTGGCGTCGCTCGTGGAGTTAACAGCTAGCTCGAAATCCCAGTCCGAAATGCGGGTTATGACAAGCCACACGCGTTTGTATGACTCCTTGCGTATATTGAGAATCAGCTTGCCTGCTAGTGGCGCACATGATCAGCAACGCTGAGTTGGGTTAAGATTTTGGGAGCAGAGGAGGAGGAGGAGGGGGGGGGGGGGGGCAGGGCATGGAGGAGCGACTGGTGTTTGTGTAGTGACAGCCGTTGATCGTTCATGGCACGTGAACAAAATCTGAGACGCAGCAGGTTTTTCGCCAGGAGGTATGCGGGGAGCAGGGTTCCGAGCATACCGGGAGTAGGCCTTCCGAGTGCAGGTCTTTCGAGCGTACCATTCACGGCAGCAGGTCTTCCAAGGTTAGGTATTCTGAGCGTAGGTCTTCGGAGAGTAGGTCCTCCGAGCGAAAGTATACCAAACGTAGGTATTCAGAGCAGTAGGTCTTGCGGGCATACGTCCTCTGAGCTTTGAATGTCATTAGGCATTCCGGGAATAGGAGGATGCTCGAAGGTTCGTAAGTGATATAAGGACACGGAGCTAATAATGCCAAAAATGCCACACATATTTCAGGAGCTGACCTTATGTCGCATAACCAAAAAGTAAAACATAGGGCGTCAAAATCCTACAATTTTTTTGGCCACGCCCCTTTCTGCTACCAACACCAGCATTCCAATATTCGCGTAATGTGATGGTACTTGCACCAATGCGGTTTGAAATTCGTGTGCAAGCTACTGCTTTTGCTTTTGGAAGAAATGTTTCACAACTGAGGAAATTAAAGCAAGCATCAGATCTAATGAAATAAGCTTACTCATAACATAGTGCTCCTCAATACGTCATTTTTTATTGTGTCATGTAATGTTTCCATGCCGTTATGGTGCTGCTGACCTATCCATGCGAAATCGTCAACCTCAGCACTCACTTGTGGTACTTAATTTTGCAGAAATATGGCCATGGTAGCGCTGGAGGTGTTTTCTGACATCATGCATCGTTGCATGCTCATGTTCTGACCCTTTCCCGTGGTGCTCTTGCCTGTTTATCCGTGAGCTTACGGCATGTAACACCATTCACACGTTCAATTATGGTGCTTTAATTAAGCTATTCCATTACAACTCATATTTCCGTAATAACTAGCACCCATGTCTAGCTTCTTATCCTATGTAGTGCAAATCATGATTCGAGATCGAAACTGGCACAATTAAAAGTGATAGAAAACGATGTGATGCATGGTTGGGTGGAATTATGTTGGTTAGGAACACCACGTGATCGATGTAGGGGGGGGGGGGGGCAGGATATGAATGACGTTTCCATGGTGTCATGCATGCCTGAATGGCCTTGAAATAATCTGCACGGAATGGTTTACACGTCGTCGCAGGTATGTAGCTCAGAAACTAGTGTTTTAGGTCTTAAGAAGGGTAGCACCGTAAACTGCACGGAATAATTTTTTGAATGGCTGTTTCAGTTCAAAACCGTATACAAAGGTGGAACTCTCCCTTAAACCATTCACGGTATGATCAGGAGCCTTACAACAACTCAGTGTTCTTTTGTTTTCGTCGCCAGTAAGCTAGCAAAAGGAAAGCAGTCGAGCCATATTCTTGTGTTCGACTTCGATGTTATCGTGGTGGGTAAAAGTGTGTTCTTTTTTTGTCACCGAACGAATGTCTGCGGATAAAATCGTCCCCAGCAGCGATATTCTGAATGTCTATGTGATATGGTATTCCGAATGCCTATGTGACATGACAATCCGAATGCCTATGTGATATGACATTCCGAATGCCTATGTGATATGGCAATCCGAATGCCTATGTGATATGACATTCCGAATGCCTATGTGATATGACGTTCCGAATGTCTATGTGATAGGCAGTGAATAGCCTATGTGATATGACATGAAATGGTAATGACGTCCATGCGCAGCAGCACAATCAGGAATCGGCTTATCAGCGAAAGCCTCCTTCATCACCGCGACTTGCAATGTCATGCACATAACCGAAAAGTTTATTCTTGCAATGTCGTTCAACTAACGCCAGGATAAGCGCTCCTGCGAAGAATGCAGGCACACCGGCGCTAGATAATGGGATAGTTCAATCACAAAAACGGTCTTCTTTCACACTCGGAACTTGCCGCGGCTTCACGTTTAAGCTTGATTTACGGTTGGATTTGCCATCCTCGACCGCGAAAAAAGACGACAAGGGACCTCGAGAGCCAGGGCAGCTGAGCGCATGGCAGAATTCTTAACAGTGGCACGCAGCACTCGGGAATGACGTCCAACATGCGAGCCTCCTCAAGGCCACGCCCAGTCATGAAAACCACGTGTGCGCTTGGAGCCCGACCCCAACCACCATGGTGCTCTCCACCATACCTTTGGAACGCTCCAAGCGTGGCGCGACATGTGCTGCCTTGTGAGCGCCTTTCGCTGCGCTCCCCCAATGTGTATATATTGGTTCAAACTGGTTTTCTTGGCTGCCTAGAAGGGAAGAAGGAGTGTGTCGTGTTCCGGGATGGGCTCAAACTGAGGTGACGGAGACTGTGAAAATGTTGGACAGAGAGGTAGTAGGGGCTTGCTGGAAAAAGGATGATCGGGGTCATGGAAAGATGGGATCACAGAACCGTTCGAAGAAAACAAAAACCAGTTATTTCATTTTCTGGTGACGCTAAGCAAAAGCGAACAAAACTAAAAAAGCAAAAAGGCAATCATTTACGGCTGCAGTCCAACTTAACAAGACTGTTACGTGCTTTCACAAACCAAAGGTATCAGAAATTCCGGGCCTAAACTCAGTGAAATCCTGCAGTTTGAACAATGAAATGGGATGTGTTTCCACCACCGAGGCATAAAATCAATTTTTGCCGACTCTAGCCGCTTCTACCATACTTTGCATACATAAACTCAGCATAAGCTCGTTCGTTGATTTGGACGCATCGAAGGCGCGAAATTGTTAGTTTTATTGAACTCGTGCATTTGTCCTTATATAACCATAGCTTAAATGTGTTTTAAAAATATCAAATGTACCAAATACCAATTTTCTACTGACTTCCAAGGCAGTAGGACCAAAATCCCACAGAACCGCCTCTTATTTGAAGTAAATCTCTTGGTTAAGAGGGATATGTGAATGGAATGTTTCCTCCCCCAACCTCATTGCATATATTTCCTATACCACCTTATTTCTCATTCGTTATTGCCCCCTTCTTACCTATATCATTGGCTATAAAAACAGCTTCCAGCAGCCAAGACTAATATTGGGTGAAGGCTGGACTTGGAAAAATCGTCTCTTCATTGCTAGCGAAGCATTAATAAGATATTTGCATTTCAAGCAATGGCATAGTTTTAAAGATAAGTGTGGGGGCTGAGCAGTAAACAAATACGCAAACATCCCCCATTATGTGCTTGTCTTCCCAGATTTGGCACAGTTATGTACTAATTGAGTGGGGGTTTTGTGGCCTGAATAGAATAGGAACTATGTAGGGTGCATAGTACAAACGCTGATTTTATGATCGTTTGACTGGTTACTTTGCTCAATCGGAAAAAGCAACAATGACATCGATTGGCATTTCACAAGCATCCTAACGTGGTGTGTGTCCTTGCGGAATTTCATAAGCCCCCAGCCTTAAACCCACGGTCCTCATCAAAGGAAGGAAAGCTCGTTGCTTGCTTAGTTCTGGGGCATTGGGTGCTTGCGACTGTTTCGGTGTCAGTAGCCGTTTCTGTCGTTTTTCTGTGACTTTAAAAGACAGTTTGAATGAACACATGCCAATTTCTGCCTTGACTCGATCATCTCACCCACTTTCCCTTACATGCCAATCAATAATATCAACTAGGACCAAAAATTAAACCGAGATAGGCATTTGCGAAACTGCAATGTGAATGCCACTTGCGAAGCCCCGGTGAAAGCGCCCCCTCCTCCGCAGAAAGTCAGCGCCAGCCTAACATATTCCAATTACACAACAAAGATCGAAGCATCCTCTTGTGGCTAGATGAATCGCCATGTTTAGATCTGTTTCATCAGCATTTTTTACCGTCCAGTTTGGGATACTGAAAGTTGGCTGGTAAAAACAGTGAATTGGCCGACAGGCCAGGCCATCCGAAATACACTGATTTGTTGCCGGCCTGTCACCGAAGTGAGCGATCAGCTAAACATCACGGTACATTTTTGTCGCCGGATTAGGATGGAGCCTAAGAAAGGCACCAAGGTGCCGCAGGGTGCGGTAAAGGGTCTTTATGGAAAGGCTTGCTGGTATGGTAGGATGAAATGTATAGCCACTGAAGCCCCATGAAGATTGTAAAATGCGCGCTGTAGTATTTTGCTGTGGCCGTCACCAAAACTTTCGCTCAAAAGCTTCTCCTTTCTATGCCGTTACCCAAGAACAGGTAACCAGGAGCGCCCCTCCCTCAATCCCAGCG